TTGTGTTAGTCTCTAAGGTGCCACAAGTACTCCTGTTCTTTTTAAAGGCTAATTAGTCCATTATCAAAGAGGTAGAAAAGACACAGGAAGGAAGTGCTTAGGGTCAGAAAGAGAGAGATTAGTAGGTTTTTTCCAGCGTTAGGAAAGTCCTTTCACTAGGAAGATGTCTTTTCCCTCTTTAGCCAAGAGAGCTAAGAATTGTATGATGTTGTAAATACAGAGCTGTGACAGTCTGTCTAGGTGGTAGGGAGACTACATTGACATGAACCACGTGGTGTTTGGCTAAAAGAAGGTCTCTAAGAGGCTTGTTTCTTGAAAAGAAGGTGGGGTCCTACTCTTGTCTATCACAGATGGTATGTCTACACAACAAGTAAACGTGTGTGGTAGCTCAGGCTTCAGGGCTGTAAAATTGCTGTGTAGATGTTTGGGCTCAGGCTGCAGCCTGAGCTCTGGGAGTCTGTGTGGGTCCAGGAGGCTGGGCTTCAACCCAAGCCCAAACATCTACGCAACAATTTTTAGCTCTGTAAGCCTGAACCAACTGACCTGGGTCAGCTGTGGCCAGGCCATGGGGCTTTTATTCCAACATAGACTTACACAGAAGGGTTAGCTTGGAGTCAAGGCTGTGGTTATGGATGATTCCCTAAGCGAGTTTCTGAAGCCTGATGGGAGAGCCCTAAGAAAGTTTGGGGATAATGCCTATTAGGCCTGCCTCAAGAGTGAGAAAAGCCTCAGAGCAGTAGTATTGTTGGGGAGGGGGGAAGCTGTTTTATTTATGTATGTATTAGGTCAGCCCTAATCTTTCTTGCCAGACTACAGGTGGAAAATAGCTGTGTCACTGTTAGGCTGGGAGTGTGAGCTGATAAAACACTGCTTTGCAGATTGACTGAGTGGTGTTAGCGCTGAAAGGGGGGCAGAATAAGCTAGGCCACCCCAGGAGCTCTGAGAAGGAGCATTAAATAACAATAATTAGTTATGTGCTGTTAATCAATTACTCTGATTCAGCATTTCAGTAGCTGGGGGAACCAAGATTTCTGAACCTATTCTTCTTCTGTCACTTGCTCACCGAGGGGCTAGGATGGTATTGCTCAGATAATACTCTGAGTAGCTACATGTTGGGTTTTAGTTGCCATTTAAGTTATTGCCAATGTGAGTCATCTTGTTTGGAAATAATGAATTTGGTAGAAATGAAAGTGCTGAATATCTGAAAGTCAAGCCCCTTTAAGGTGTCTCAAGGAAGATGCCCAAAATCACTAGTGACTTCTGAAAAAATGTTGAGCAGGCTTTTGCCTTCTTCAGCTCGTACCTATTCTGTACTGGTTCAGAGACCAAAATTAGTCAGCAGAGAACTACACCGATAATAACAATAATACTACTTAGCTCTTCTACAGTAGATGTCAAAGTTCTTTAGAAAGGGAAGTATCTTTCAGTAAAGAGTTGCAAAACATTTTCACCTTGTTCTAAATCAGCAAATCGCTCCCTTATATATTTGTAACTCTCTTTATTTCAGGGAGCTTACAAACTTTAGAGTTCCGATTCTGTCAGGCATTGGCTGCCTGCACCATCACTTTTGTGTTTAAGTCCACCAGTCCATTAAGAAAGTCATTTATATTATACCCCTATTATTGTCATATCTAACTTAAAGGTCCCTTGTGAATTGGAGAAGGTTAGGTATCTCTGTGAGCAGAAAGTGCTTTGAATTCTCCCCCCCTCCCCACCCCTGATTTTCAGCTTTGCTGGCAGCAATTTCCCATTTCCCCCTTTCCTCTCCCCTTCCCCCCCCCAAACAAACAAACACCAAAAAAAACCTTTGATAAGATATCTCTGTAATTCTGGCAAAAAATATCCAGTCTCCTTTAAGGTTAATGCTAAACTTCTGTAGGACATTATTTTTAAGGTTTAATAGAAAGCTAGTAACTTTCAGTATTGTACCTGTCAGTACTAAATGATTGTTCATTTCCTGTGAAATGAGAATAAAGTAATAACATACATCTGGTGAACTAAGACATGTTGCTTATTGTTGTATCCTTTACCAGCTGTGAAACATTATCATACAAACTCTTTGAATAACTTTAAGGAAAATTAAAACATTGTAGATGTCAACAATAGATCTGGTAGTCTTATCTAAGCATGTTTGGGAGCATGTTTCATGAACAAAACTGCAAACGTTGGAGATCTTAATCAGCCCAGCGAATCAGGTACAGCCCAATCCCGGACCACATAAAACCCCAAGTCAATGGGTGTTTTGGTAAGGAATAGGGGATCAGGCATTTACTGCTGGATGAAGGCAATTTGATAATCCTTCTAAAATTAAATGTCCAAAGACTCTAGATAATTCCTAAAACTATGAAAATATCCTAACACTAGGGAAACTTTTTAAATTAATGCCACCATATATTAAAAATTGCTGTAATTCTGAAAGAACAAAATGCTAGGAACCAATCTTGCTCCCATTGAAGACAATAGGAATTTTACCATTAACTTCATTGGGAACAGGATTGGGCCCTTATGACCAAAATCAAGAGGGTGTTGAAACTGGTGTAACATAAAACCTTCAAGCTCCTACAATATGTAGGTTACACCAATATAGATTCTATTGTTAAATTGAATGTTGCCTACTCTCATGATTTTTATCATGTCTTAATATTTGATGGTTGTTGGTTTTTTTACAACTCCAGCTCCAAGAGTGATGTGATTTTTTGACTCATCTTTCACTGAAAAGGGTGGGGGGGAGGAAGAGGTCAGGGTGAAATCCAAACTCCTATTTACTTCAAAGGGGCCAGGATTTCACCCTAAGTTTCTAGCCTTTGCAGTTGCAGAGAAGTTTGAAAATGTGAATCCAAAAACCAGAACAGAAATGAAAAGAAACCAAAATTATATTTTAAAAAATTATGATTTTAACCAGATTTCATGATTTGAGGTCTGACTCATTATTTTTGAATATTTAGTTAGCAATACTGCAGATTCTTCTTTGTTACACCAATGTACATCTATCTGGAATAACTGATTTCCGTGTCGTTACTCTGGTGTCATTTTACCCATTGTATATCAGAGTAGAATCTGAATATTGGGCCTAATTCTCCATTGACTTGCACCTTGTGCACTCAATTAAACCCGCACAAAGCGAGTATAAAATGTTACCACTGATATGGCTGCATCCTACACCTACTTTGCACAGATGTAAATGACTGAACATGTTGCAAGAAGCAGAAAATCAGAGTACTTGGATTTCAGTTACATCTATTTACTGAGGGGTAACATGCACACCCTTATACAGCGCCTCTGAACTTGGCTGTTAGAGTGTAAATGAAAAATGTTGTCAGCCGAATCTAACTGCAGTGTTTCATTGTAATTAAAAATCACATTTTATAACATTATGGGCTAGTTCTAAGCTGGTGTAAATCGCTATAACTCTATTGACTTTGATGAAGCTATGCCAGTTTACAACAGATAAAAATCTGGCCCTATGTGTTTGTTGAGTTGGGGGGAAGCTGCTAATACTGGTTTGTCTATTTATTGGTGTTTTCTGATTTGCTGCCATTCCAAATTCATTTGAAAGAAGAAGAAGAACACATTTTTACCTTGTGTTCTCTTTCTTGAGTCTAATCTTGTTCTTAATGAAATTTTGCTGTTAACCCTCTTATGCCAGTGAACCATTCATTTGGCAACGTCCTTGGCACCTACGCTTGGTGATCTGCACTGCTCTGGCAGCACAAAGCAGTTGAAAAGTGGTTTAACCTACTACCTGGGGATTCCCAATTGTGTACAGCCTGCATAGGTAGCTCCTATGCCTCCCTTCTCCCTTGCCTTGCCATAGGCTGTGTGGGTGTGGCTGAGAGGAAAAAAGAGTGTTGCACTCTGGCTGCCATACTGGCCCCTCAGTACCCATAGCCAGCTAGTATCAGTTAGGACAATCTGAAGTTTTGAGAATAGTGGATGGAAAAGAGGGGATCCTGTGATGTTTCCCATCCAAGTTCATGGCAAAAGGGGATAAAGTTTGATTCTCCAATTGGCTCAAATTACCAATGCTATAGAGCTCATACTCTGCACCATGAGGTATTGGACTCAAACCACACTAGCATTTGAACAGGTCTGTGATGGACTGGCAACTCTCCATGAACCAGGAGCCCCATGCCATGGAACTGGACTTACTGGGGATAAGATTTTACCCAACGCCAAGTTTTGGTACATATACATTACCTAACAGAAGTATTGGGAGCATAAGCTTTCGTGGGTAAGATCCTCACTTCTTCAGATGCAAGGGTGAGGATCTTACCCACGAAAGCTTATGCTCCCAATACTTCTGTTAGTCTTAAAGGTGCCACAGGACCCTCTGTTACTTTTTACAGATTCAGACTAACACGGCTACCCCTCTGATACTTGATACATTACCTATTGCTTTATTATTATTTGCTAGGCATCAACAATCTGCTCAGTGCTGCACCAAACAGAAGATGACATTCTAAATGGACAAACAATGTAAAATGCACAGGATATTCAGAGGAAGATTCAATCCCAGATTTCCCACCCCTCCCATTGCCTCCTTAATGTGAT